TAAAATTTATATGTTTACTTACTTTTTATAAATAAATTTCTTATACTTGTTTGGAATAAATTATTACCATGCTTTTATATTTATGTATAAACAAGTAATTTATTATATATTATATAAAATAAAACTATATTTCATATTTGTTCCAGGCTTATTTTTTTTATTAAAATTAACCTCCTATCTTTTAAATATATTTTATGACTAAATATAGACTAAGGTAATCCGATCGAAGGCCCTCCCAAAATGGGGTCTGGGGGCGAAGCCCCCAATAATTTTTTAATCCCCCCCCTTAGGAAAATCCTGGCTACGCCTATGAACTGCAATTATGTTGTTTCTCTCATTGAGATGAAATAGTAATGGTGGCATCTGATATTTTTCAGCTATATAAAATAATTATGGTTAATTATTTTTTTTATAAAATTATCCTAATTTATGTAGATTGATATGATAATGAAAATTAATTTCTTATATAAAATATAGAGTAATGTAAAAATTACATGTTAAATAAATTACAATTAAGTTTCATGATTTTGAATGACATTTTTATAATTTAAATAAATAACTTTTTTTGTTTCTAACAGATAGACATGACCTTGTAAGATCCACATTAAACTGATCTAAAAAATACAATAAACTAATGGAATAAACAATAATTTAATTAAATATAATTCCAGTTGGTCATAGTACAAAATGTATAAGAATCATCGTTTTATCTATAAAAACTTGAATAAAATAAATATATTAAGCAAATATAAATATGGCTAGAAATTAGCAACAATTTTTTTACAAGATAAAATATTACTATAATTATTATTTTTACAGATAATTGGAATTAATTATATTATAAAAGATTAATTTGGTTTGCAACATTGTTTGGGATCGTCATGTCTTGTTACTTATAAATATTTTTGTCACACTCAGAATATTTTTTCCATTCTTATGATGTTGGCTGAAAACATCAACCTTTTCTAAAAGATATAAAAATTGTAATTAAAATATTATATCATGAAATTTGATTTTTTAAGAAATAGGATAATTATCTTTACTTAGAAGATAGAAAATATAAAGAATTATTACTGTAGGGACAGCTAGTGATAGATTTGACCATAATTAAATCTTTGGTAGGTAATTAAACACAGATACAGTCGTTAAGCCCCTATAAAATTCTAATTATAAAGTAAAATAAAACTTTATTTACAAGATTTACAAAATCTAAATGTTTATATAAGTAATTTTGTTTTTCTAGTTAATATCAAGGTAAATTGTATAAATTTGATTATCTCATCCAATCTTGACCACATAAGTAATCATTTAAGCCTGAATTGCCAATTGTTTTTAAAATCTGATGATAATTACTAAAAATATAATTTATATGTTAAAAATATAAAGAACCTGGACTTCATTTTCTTTCTTTGGAAATATTTGTAAAATAATTATGCAGGATGTTATTATCCAAATATCTGTTTGATTTAATATCTTTGTATGGCGTATGAGTAAGAATATAAGATAGCATTTTTTTCCTTGCTAATAGGCATATGTCGTAAGAAATATCATTCCATCATTTACCATCTATCGTCACTCATTTAAAATTTTTTACACCTTTAATATTGAAATACCAAACTGATATATCAGTCAATCCAAATTTAGATTTCATTCAACTCCTTCAATCAGCCAACATACTTGGTAGTCAGGAATGGTTAGAATAACTCTCTAATCGTAACCTTGGCAATCTCATATCAAACTAACAATTGAGAGTTGCCATTGGTTATGTCAGGGTTGTGACATCGTACAGTCGCATGCTTGTATCAAATGCAAATATTCAGTTGATTCAAAGGTTGTCACGGCCTCAATTGCATATACATTCCAAATCCCAGTCCAAAGCACATAGCAATAAATTATGTAATGAATAAAGGTTTAACAGCCGCCAACATTCCGAATTACCTTTTTACAAATTTATTTCACGTAAATGGCTTAAGATCTAATTATTATGGTGTTTTAAATGTTATGATAAATTTTTAAGAATTACAAAAATAAATAAATAAGAGATAATAATATTCATATTTTGCTTTTATAATTATGCAAATTAAGAGTCGACAGCATCTACATAACAGGATATTTACTGAATGCAAACCTCCTTTAAAAATCATACCGACCCCCCCTAAAAAAATGATATTTCTATAGTTATACCATTTTAATTATATAGTGATCCCTTGATAAATTTTAAAATGAAGAAAAATTATTAAGGCTCTACTAGCAACTAACAAAATATTGTGAATGTAAAAGAGTTATTTTTTAGAACATGCAATTAAAAAACTCACATTTACAATGAATGAATTATTTTAGTATATTGTTTGCCATGAATATGAGTTTACCGATAGAATCTCTAATCCTTTTAAATTAACATTAAAAGGATAGCAGAAAATGATCCAGATAATGTCTATTGTGGGCAGGGATGTGAACCCTTCGACAAAAAAAAAGGGTCCGGGTCCGGGTTCGGGTCCGGTTATAAATTAAAAAGGACCCGGGTCCAGAGGAAACATAAAAATAATGACTCAAAATAAAACTTTTTTTCATTCATTTTTTAATTATACTTCAATATATACACATTTATAATTTGAAATGAGATAATTTATATTTTAAATATTTTATTCAATCGCACAATCATGATATCTTCTAAAATATCATTCTTCAGATTTCCACGTAAATTAGTCAACGATGAAAATCAACGTTCTACGCTTACCTAAAATAGATAGTCATTTTTATAATACATAAATTATTGTACTTGTGTTGCCGGTACAGCCATGACGATTCTAGAAAAGGTATATAATTCTGGATATATTGAAAAATTTTCCTCCCAGAATTTTAAAATGTTTGCATCTCTATTTATTCTCATGACTTCCGATAACTTTTCTATTAAAGATACAATAGATATTTTTTGCTCCTTTATATCTGATGATAATTTAATTTTTTTTCTCTATCTAATAGTAAAATTTCCAGATCATCAATATCATTATCATTGTTATCGCTACAACCAGTAGATATTGTTGTAACCACCAATGTATTGTAAATAATAGAGTTTTGGGTATGACATAAATCTTCAAGATGGTCTATAGCCATTTGTTTTTGCTCACTACTTAATAAAACCTGATATCGCGGATCGAAGCATATACAACACTATTTTTTAAATATTGCTCTCTTATTTTCGTATTTTCTAATACTTCATTTGAAAAAGAACTTGTTAATCTCCCTAACTCTAATCGACATCTTAACCATATGCCATAAAAATCCGATAAATATAATTGTTCAGCTTGCACTCTTAATGTTGTTATTTTTAAAGGAAGCACACTAGTTAGCTCTTTTACTTGATTCCAATCATCTTCTGACAAAATGATTTCACATGCTCCTATGATAAAATAATTACAGAAATCTTTCAAACTTAATAATCGCTCTAGCATCATACACATAGAGGACCAACGTGTTGTGCAATCTAAAATTGCCATTTACCTTTTCATGGATTTTAATATTCTAACAATTGTGGGAGTTCTTAAATATTTTACAATATCCCTTGCTTTATCAATTATAGTTTTAAAGTGACTATTTTTTAGGGAGATTCCACGAAAAAAATTAATAAAATTATAAAAATTTTATATTATTTTTTAAAAATTATATTTTTACATTAATTTAAAAAAAAAAATTTTAAGTTAAAAATTTTTAACACCCTGAACCCTTGGACCCTCCAATTTTTAAAAGGGTTCAGGGTCCGGGTCCAGGGTTCACATCCCTGATTGTAGGCAACATATAGATTTGGTCGAGTTTAACAATATCATTGTATTACAATAGGTTTGTAATAAAAGCTTTAAATTTTACAGCAACACATTTTGCTTCATGTAAAAATTTAATAGATAACTCCCTAATAAATTTATCCCAAAGCTAGTCTACACCCCCATAAATGCCATGCTTATTCACTACCTTCCTCAAAGGAAATTGGATGCACCCCATTTCTCATATAGACGCTGATCATGGATTATAATAATTACCAACAACAATGAATTACAAATGTTTGGAATACCGATTTTAGTATTTAATTTAAAACTACCAGACCAAGCACAAGTAAATTGTTTAAAATGTATATATTGCACATGATTTTTTTAAATAGAATTTAAGAGATAAGCTAAGTCTGATAAATAATAAAATGGTAAAAATATACTTTAAAGAAAATATAACGCCTATATCTATATATGTATATGCTTCTCTTATCCACCAAGCAAAGTAGTTGAACAAGAAATGTATCAGTAAGTGGACATTAAAGACTTAGATGATATTGACTCAACGGCACCTTCAATTGAATGGGCTACACCAACTGCAAATATATTAAAGAAAATAAAGTCAGAATTTGTGGAAACTCCAATTAAACTTTGAATCCGCATTTAACATTTGATAAAAATTTACTAACCCCTTAAAATGTAAAGCAAATCAGGAGGTCATATGTTAAGGTCAATAGATCTTCGTGATTCTTACCTTTAGATGGAGATTAACAAAGATACAGAAATACCTTGCTATTACAACGAACCTTGGATATTATCTCTATCTTAGATTAACTTTTTGGATTACCTAATATGCCAACTAATTTTCAATGGTATATAGAAAAATTATTAACAAATATACTAAGTGTATAAGTGATCTTAAATTATGTTAATAGAAGGCCCACAGACCAAGAACTTATTACTACAGATTATAAATCGTATGTTAAAAGTGGGAATACAAATAAAATCAAAAAACAATTTTTTTTAAAAAGGTTACATATTTAGGACACCGCATAGATTAGTCCTAGTATACACTCGTCTGAAGATAAAATAGATGTCTAAAAAAAATAAAAAAATTTCCTTAGAATATTAAATAACTAATAGCCTTTCGAGGCCTCATTAATTATCATGAGTAATATGTAAAATACCTACATGATAAGTATGCCAAACTACATAAACTAACAAGTATCGAGGTGTACCATGGAATTGAACTTTGAAGGAAAAAAGGTTCCGAATAAAAAAAAACATATTAAAGCTACTTTAGTACCCAATAAAAAAGCCAGTAAGATCGCTTGTGACACTTCAGAAAATGGGCTAGGGACTGTGATTTTTTATAATGTCAGAGGAGTGAGGAACACCTTATCATTTAAGCGTCTCAAACGTTAGTATCTGTAAAATGGTGTGCTCCTATAGAGAGGGAGGGGCAGTCTTAATATTTACAGTTCACAAATTCCTCATACATATGTGTTTGGGGGAAAGTTTTTTTCTTTATAGAAATCAACTGAAAAATATTTGAAGACTTGTAAAAAATCACAAATAATCGGTTAGTGCGATGGATACTTGAATCAGGGAATTTTAATTATAAAATTAAATATCGCGCGTAAGACAAAAGTACATACGCAAATACACTGTCACTTTATGTGCACACATCAATGCCAGAAACAACAACGAAATAAAATACGATGAGAGTAGCAATGAGAGACGATTTAACAATTGATAGAAATAAACTGTGCTCTTGTCGACCTCAAGAAAAAAATATTACATTGTATTATGTTATTAAACTATCTCATAGGAATTGGAATTGTAAATTAGAACATTTAAATAACGAAGAAAAAAAATATATTATAAACGTTAAGAGGAAATATCATCCGAAAGCGAAATATTATACTTGCCATTTAGTAATCATGCCTAATATTTTAAAAAAATATTAAAAATACAAAGGTCACCCGGGAATAGCAAGTCAGTCATAAGCAGTTTCTGTGGCCCATTTTAGATCAGGACATTGATAATAATATAAAAACTGCATAGAATGTCAAGAAAATCGTCCTAGAATTTGCAAAATCTTGGAGTGATTGCATGTGAATCTGGCAGGACCAGTAGATGAAAAGTACTGATTAACAATAGATGCCTATTTGAGAAAGGGTTAAACTTATTGAATATATTCTCTATCACAGTAATTATTGCATTAAGAGATCATTTCGCAGTGTTTATTTCTGGGAAAGATTATAACCGACATATCAGTTCTCTTTGTAAGTCAACTAACATTAAGCACATCACTTCAATTCAACGGTATGGCAGAAAGAATATAAGAACGTTGAAGGATATGTACTATGTAATCAAAATCAGGAAAAAGATATGAAAATTTCTATGGCTCAAATATTAATTGGAATGTTTCCGAAGAAACTAATGATAGATCGGGGGCTATATACAGTTTTAGATCAAATATCTAAATCTCCTCGCAAAAAAAAATGGATGAGGGGATGTGAAAATAAAAATTGATATGCGAGAATCTGCGGAGAATGAGACAGTGTAGATAATAATGAAAATACAACATGGATGGAGACCTGGTACAGTATTGATGAGGGGATGAGGAAATGTCTAAGAGATCGATGTACATAAAAAAAACGTGCTAATCAATTCAGAGAAAGTATAGCCGAACAAGGTATATCAAATATTTTGGAATCAACTAATCGGGTAGAGATATGTTTCGGAAAATATTTCGGAATGACGATTCACCCAAAATTAACTACTATTGAGGTTTAGAGAAGTTTATCTTATTAAAGGTAAGGAGAAATATAATGATAATAAAATAACAAAAAAAATATAACATTGCAAGATTTTTTTTTCCTTCTAGGATACCTGATATCGACATAAGCTACATAGTGATAACCTCATCTATAATATAGACATCATGTATGGGATCTATATATTTGTGAAAATACATGATGCACGCAACTCCTTCGTAGATGATGAAATTGAATTTCATGCAATATCTGGCGTGATAATGAATGAATAAAGTTATTCAAATTCTGATTATTACACATAAACTGAAATGTAATTTATGATTTAACATTGTGTACAAATTGTTGTAATTTTATTATTATTTTGTTGAGTTTAATATTTTTTAAAAATATTTCTATCTAAGATAATAAAATTTCTTTGATCTTATCAAGAATCTGAATAATCTTTTTCTAAATTTATTAAGGGAAAAGGAAAATAAAAAAATTAAGAAAGATTTGTTTAAATTTTTACAGTGATGAGCTGGTGAATGATATTTTGGCTATTATCGGTGTTGTGTTGATATATTGAGCAATTTATTGAGATATACCCAATTTATATAATTATAATATGAATTATATTAAATTTTATTTTATTGATATAAATATTTATATTACATTAACTTTAAAAAAATTAATAAATTATTAAAATTATTAGCGGAAAATTTAAGAAAAGGTTTCGATCGGATAAAAAATAGAAGGTTAACTAGAATGTAAATTTAAATAACTACTTTTTAAATTATATAGGTTTATTAAAAAAACGATAAAAAATCAAAATTGTATATGTATCTTTTGTACAATAATAGTTAAAGATACAAATACAATATACTTTTTAATTATTTCAAAAAGATAGTATTTTGTATTTAAGATACTAGTATTTGAAATACTGGCCAACCTCTGATTATACCCTTTTTACTAATTTCTTCATTTTTTTATAAAAAAATAAAGCATCTATGCCTGAGAGATCTATTATTTATTTATAATTTTTTTCTATATAAAGTAATTTGATAGTTGGTTGTTACACCATTTTTGAGTGTATTTTATAATTAGTAAATATATTTAGGGCAACTCTATATGACAAGGGGGGTAGGAGCCATTCCAATATCTTTACAGGACAATGTAAAAATTGAACAATATTTACAGAGATATTTGTTTTAATTTTAAGCTGAATTAAACTACTCGAGTTCTTGAGTTCGTGACTTGAGTTTGAGACTTGAGTTTGAGATTAGATTTCTTAATCGTTATAAAATCCATTTTAAGATCACACTCATTGAGTCGGAGTCGAACGAACTCAAATATTTAACAGCGATAGTTATAAATATTGATTTTTTTAAAAAATATAAATATAATATTTTTGATACTTGGTTTAAAGGATCATTATAAAACAATCTAAGGGTCTATGGTTAGCAACTTTTAATTTTATTAATATTCTGAAATATTTTTTAAATTCATTTAAATACCAAAACCAACTATGCCAAAAAAAAATGTATTAGAAGGAAGATTTGATAAATTCAAAGGGAAAAATATAAAAATATATATCATTCTAAAAAATCATCTTCGATTTAATAATTAACCCACATATTAAAATAATTTTTGGAATAGGAGCTGTCCCCAATCGGAATCAAACCTTATAGTTATGCCAAGCAACTCAGTTTAGGGTTAAAGTTTTTTTTTAATCGGGACCACCTAGGGCTTAGAAATACCAAAAAATAGGATTAAAATGAGTTATTATGTTGGTTAACTGAGCGATTATTGCCAGCTATACAATCTTAGTTCAGAATTAAATACGAACTTTCTGGCCAGATTTGTTTAAATTTCATCGCTATTTTTAAAACACGTATTGATTTTTTTTTTTCTAATTTTAGAAATGTATCTTAGAGAGGTTCATTTGATAACATTAGTTCCGAAATTCGGTAAGATTGAGATTGGAAAATTTTATCGCTTTTTCATTAATAGCGTAAAATATTTGAAAATATAAATTAACACCTAATTTTGATCATATTACTATATCCCTTCAAAAAATGTTTTACTAAAATAAAAATGGCACTAAATTATTGTTTCTTACCTCAATAAAAATATTGTTTTGAAATCTTAACCTTGATATTCTTTAACAAATTTTATATAAAATAAAAAAAATTTTCTTCTTAAATAACACTTTTTAGGAAATTATCATATTACACAAAATATTGTTTCACTTAAATATAACTTTAATACCGTAAAATATCAAGGCGAATTCAAATATAATGTAATTTTTCAATGCTAAAATTTAATTATATATGTTTACATTAAAATATATCAAATTTCTCTACCCATACCCCCTTTTTGGGTTAACAAAGTTTCCCAGTTATTACAAATTTTTAGAAAGATGCGTCTAGAATTTATATTTTTTTTATTTAAAAGTTAAGATTTATAATAATTATTTTGATCACTAAACTTCAATTTATACAATGCGCTTGAGTCTGCTAGTAAGAATTTATATTTGATGGACAAGCTTTAAATTATTTTTTTCCAAACTAGGGTGTTCTTATTCTGCTGACCTTTGCAACCAACCGTGGATTGGGCTTTAACTCTGGTAAGAAAGAAAAAACAAATATTTGAAATTATATATTCACATTATACTAAAAAGTAATTTAAATTTTTCATTATAATTTTAAAACCCGAAAATCCCACAATTTATTAGACTAGTTTAATCTGAGTTTTTATAAGTATAAAAAATAAATAGGAACATGTTAATTATAATTAAAAAATTTTAATTTTATTATCATTACTTATTTAGGGTGTAAGAAGGGCTTAAATTTGTTTTGATTATCGTCGTGAAATAATATGTATTTACAATTAGAGTTATTCATAAGGCAGATACATAAACGTAGCCAGAATTTTTTGGGTTTTTTTTTCTCTTAGATTTTTTTTTGAGATCTTTAGATCTACTTAATGTAAACCTTTGGCTATATTTGGTTTTTATAAAATGATAATTTCTGGGGTTTCATTAAAAATTTTTTCTTCAAATTCTTCTTTATAGTAATGTATTGTAATATATTTCTGATGGTATGGGGATGGGGAGGGGTAGATTTAGAGGCGAAATATTTAGGGAGGAGGATTTTCCCTTCCGCCACCCCTCGGCTACGCTTATGTACCGATAACTCAGTATTATTTAAAACAATATATATTACTAGACTAGTTTATATACGTAATAATGTTTTTAATCAATATTGAAAAATGTAGATGCTCTCATTGTGGGTCGTAAACTGCTACAACTGTGTTTATTGACCGGTGGAAGAGATCGTATATATTTAGATAGAGAAATATTTCAATCTCGACCCATATCATTCACGCATAGTAAAATAAATCAAATATTCTATAATTATTATTGTATTTAACATTTTGCTAAAATATTATATATATATGTGTATAAATATTTAATTAGTTTACAGTTATATTGATCCAGAAAATTCTCATATTATAAAGCCATTGGCGGGATTCAACATTAAAATAACAAGAGAAAATTAAAATCGACTAATAAAAATAAAAATGAGAAATTATTTGGGATTACATATTTAAATTTACTATTATTTAATATATATGATTTCAAAAAAATATTTTATACGTTAAAAATTTATAAGAGATTCCCACGAATGTGCAATTCTTTTCCGTTAGAAAGTTTGCTGCTCAGACGGCCTGTAACTTTGAATTGCTTTTTTATGTACCCCCGATATATGTGATAGGTAAATATTATGCAAATCATGATACAATACTGTAAATATATTCTGAAGGTGTTAGAATAGGTGCTACTACAAATATAGTCTCTACCGCCAATACAGCAATAGAATACAATGCTAATGGGCTAAGGGTGGTTGTCCGCCGAGAATTACCCAATATTGGAATCTATAAAAGATTTAGATTTTATGTTAGAAATTCAGTGGCATCTAACATTCTTGATGTAGCCTTTGAGGTTTATTATAATAATCATAGAATATACACAATGACGTTTTATTTCGAAAAACTATAGTTTTTTTAAAGGGATAAATATCCCAGAGGCTAAATTTCTCATTGTGACTAAAAATGATAAATTTTATTAAAAATTCAAAATTTTAGTTCTGATCGCTGACTTAAATAAGCAAAAATTAATAGAGGGTCGATAGTTTATCTGTCAAAAAAGTATATTTGATTTGAAAATAGTGGAGGGAAGAGAAAGGAGAAATAATATTTTTTTAAATTTTAATAAAAATTCGGAGATCTAGAAAATAGTTTTATTTTATCTCAGGACATAGACGCACAGTGTAGAGGAGAATTTCTTAAAATAGGGGTTTGTGTGGTTTTGTTTACATATCCACATTATGGCCAGGTTATGAAAATTATATTGTGTAAAATATTGCACTCATTACTATAAGTGGAATTATAACTCCCTTTTACATTATCAATAAAAATAAAATCCGAGATATATCAGGGACGGCTGTCGAAGTCGTACTAGAGTGAGGCTGTGCCTTTCTAATAAGTTTTTAAATGACTCCTTTCGACCTCATAATACATAAGTTCTAATTATAATTAAAATCTCATATTATAAAAAAAAGGTAGGATTTTATTTTAAAAATTTGTTTTTAAAATAATTATGTAACAAAATGTAACAAAGTTACCTTTTATAAATAAATCGATTACAAATTTTTTTTACTTGGGATTTAATATAAAAAAAATTTTTCATATCGGGCCATATGCATTTAAAATAATTAATATATTTTTTATTTTAAAAAAATTTATCATTGGAGTTTAATGTATCCTTTTTAACCAAAAACCAGGTTCGCTATAATCTTGTACTATAACCTCAATTATTCCCTGTTTTTTCGATTAAATTATTGTTAGATTATTAATAAGAGAGATCTTTCGAGTTTGTTTAGCTTTTTTGGGCAGGATAATTTCTGTGTAAAAAACGCAGGTCCGGGTAAAAATAAAATATAATCCAGTTATGAAGCAAGGGCCCTAATGTTGGCTAGTCAATTTAGTAATTTTAGTTGTGGGAAAAATTTGGTTTGTAAGTAGTTTTCACACATAAAAAACTATTTTTGTTTAAAGAAAATAAATTCTTTTATATATATCTTATCTATCTCTTCAAAACAATACCCTTTTCCTTTTTTTAACTATAATAAGGAGTAATTAAATCGATTAAAGTTTAAAAAACGATAATGAATTTTATTTGCAATTCTTTTTTATAAATTATCCAATTTAACTTCTAATAATATGCAATTTGATTAACCTCGATAATATAATATTACATGTCGAAAAGTTATAATATAATATACAAATAACGTCCTTTTAAAATATATAACGTGACCTTTTTAAATATATCTTACAATAATAAATATTCAAATGTAACAAGGAGTATATATGAAGTCGAAAATAGTTTATTAATAGATTTAAGCCAGGCTATACTCAATACTAACCCAAGCACAAAAGCAGGAATTCGCAATAGAAAGTGGGGGGGGGGGGGGTAATTAAAAAAAACATTTCTATAAGTTATTCAAGATTATCTTTAATTTCAGAAATTTATTTGGACCATAACTAGTGACTATCTATAAAAATATGAATTTTTTAAAGCTAAAATATATTTTAAAAAAAAAAAATTAAATGTTGAAAAATATAATATTAAAGAAAGAAAATTTAAGATTTATGGCATATATATAAATATACAAAGTATTCATGAAAAAAATATGATTAAGAAGCATATTAATAATTTATAATGTGATATAATCTTCTTTTTGGGATTGAACTAATTCTTCAAATTTCGTCAGCACTTGGTCTAAACTCCCTGATTTATACTAAGAATTAAATCTATTTTCAGAGTAGTATTTCTTAGATAAATTTTTATTCTTCCCGAGGAAGAAAAATTTTCTTTCATTGGCGGAATTACTAAAGGGTAGAAGTTACCAAAATTTATAATAATTTTAATGTACAAGAAAATAGTCGGAAATATGTTTTAAAATTTTCCATGGCCTCAATAGCAACATTTTGCAACATTATCAAGTGTAGTTAACCTTTCATTACCATTGCATTTAGCTGGTAATGCATCTTTGAGATACAACATTAACATCCTCACAATAATAATCTGCCAAATATTTAATTATTCCTCTATCAAGATTTGGAATGGATTCAGAAGAATTCTGCGATGATAATATTTGCAAATTTATAAGTGCTACCTTATGAATCAAGAACTTTTCATTCATTTGAGTAGTGAAAGTATCTAAGAGGGGGATAAAAAAGTTTTTTTTTATATAGTATTTATTCGACTGAATATAAATATTGAAACGATGGGCTTCTCTTGCAGCGAGTTGGAGTATTAAATTCCCACTCTGCTTTTGATTCAACAATGACATATAATTTATGGGATTCATCATTTAAATTTGCCCCAATTTATTTATGTTCTGATATGATATTTTTAGCTATTCTCAGATCTCACTCATATAGATGTCATTTTTTTAAAAAGGAGAGACTGGGGTTAGTCAAACCGATTTTTACAAAATTTGGCTATAGCTCCTGGTTTTTTTTTAGATAATATAAAAAATAATATATGATTAGATACCTAAAACTATGCTTTATAAAAGTGCTTTATAAAAAATTTTAAGAATATAATCATTCTTTTTAAATTTTAATTTTTTGCCAAAGTGAAAATTTTTTCCAACGAGCTCTAATAGATGGGTGAGGTAAAACCACTTCATGGGACTTCCTAAACCTTTTTTTAGGCTATAATAAATTGGAATGCATTTTTATTTATTAATAATGATACGCATAGAATAATTTTATTGTTTTATTGTTCAAAATATTATAATACTTATAAATTGAAGCTAATTATATATAAAAATTTAAACTTAATTTTGGTTATAAAAAAAATAAGTATCTTAAGGAGTGATTATGGTTTCTTGACATAAATCTTAAATATCAATCATAAAACAGCCATGAAATTGACTTTTCAAGATTTTAAAATTATTTCATTGTTAACTTCTATAATTGACGTGTATGGTTTAGCAAGTCCTGCTAGCTCTTAATTGACAAATTATGATTGAAATAATGTCTAAATATAATAAATACTCATAAACTTTCCCAAATTATATAAGCGTGTTTAAACTTTTGCAACATACAAATGATTAAAAATTTTAATAAAAATTAAAATTCTGTCTCGTGAAAATCTTTTAAATTTCATCAAAATTTTATTTCTTAAATAAAATTTTTAATAGTTAATTATTTCGAAAGATTTTTTTGTCTTATAAATGTTAACTAATAAAAACTATATTATGATAAAATTTTAACCTTCTGGTGTATTTAATTTTAAAATGAAATTAAGTGGTTTGCCAAGCCACGGAGTTTACCTAATCCCAGCCTCCGCTAAAGCATATTTTTTTTTACTCAATTAAAGGATATAATGGAAAAAAGAGAAGAATTAAATAATGTTTAAACAAAAAAAAACCTATTGTTTATTTCCAAAAATTTTAAAATTATTTTTTTAAAACTCCAAATAATTTTTTTGAAAAAAACTCTTTTTTGGGATTTTTTTTATGAATATAAAAATCTTTCATGAAATCTTAGATTTTAATATTTGTCGGATTTCTTTTCTTCATAAATCAATTTATTTCGATAATAAGATATATATAAATATTCAATTTTTATAATAATTTCGATAAAATAATAAGGGTATAAAAAAAAATTTTTATGTATAAAGTCAAAATATAATGATTAACATTCCATATGTTCTTCGACTTTGAAGATGTTACCTTTTTATGAATATAAAACAGTAAAAGTTAATATTATTAATATAAAACCCTGTTGATCGAACTTGATTATATTTGCAGAAAACATAGATAAATTATCCCTCTTTAAATCTATAAAGTTTTACTGAATTATTTTTATAAAATACAAATGTATAAGTTCAATTATAACACAGTGTACCTGAGCCTTCATCTACACGAGAAGCGAGTAGGAGCCATCTGTTCCTTTATATAAAATCTTATGACAAATAACTCAAAAATAATTGTTTTAATGAGAACATTTTGAGTACGTTTTTTATAATTGATAATTATACTTAGGTCAGCAGCTACTTTAGAAAAAGGAAAATGAGTCATTTGTTTACAATATTTTTCATTAGGTATAGTTAAAATAAACCGAACAATATTTGTAGATTAAATCGTATTTATTTCAAGGCAAAGGTTTGTATAACAATTTGCTTAAAATTTCATTTAAAAATAAATAAATAGTATCAAAAAATATAAATAATTATAAATTAAAGATGGTCATTTTTTGTTTAGGTGGGTAGAGTGAGTGAATATGTATCGCTGATTCATCCCCAGAATTTCCTTTGGGGTCTCAGTTTTATCCGAACGGAAATTTAAAAATTTATTTTTATAAAACTGGTATACAAATGCATTATTTTGCCGTTAGCTATACCCTTCCCCATTCCATTTATAAAAATGAAAAAATCGAATCTCTATTATCCATTAACTTGGACAATTAAATGGAAATTTTTTTTTTTTATTTTGATAACTTCTGTTTCGTCATCGACAATTTTGGACCTAAAAATTGTGGGTAAAATCTCATATGGAAAGCGAATCTCAACTAATGTTTTTATCTCAGGAAACAAAATTTATAGCTATATACAATTCTAAAACGATGTAAATTAATGGTCAGATCCTAACATGAACTAAGATATTATTTTTGTTGTTATTATTTAAAAAATGTATCGTTTAAATAAATAGTTAAAAAAAAGTGAGTATAAATTGGGTTTCTAGGAATAGTTATGAGAGAAAAATATGGAAACTTAAAATCTCATAGTTTAGGACGAGATATTTTGATGATACTTACCCCCCCCCCTCCTATAAATTGCCCCTATGTCCTATTTCACTTTATATACTCCTCTCTTTAATAAGTTTGACAATATAGCAAATTTAGCACATTTAGTACTATTAGGAGTTCATAAATAAAGGTCATGCGCTGTAAGGCTTATTATAAAGTAAGAACAAGACCTAATTTAGTTTTATATTATCTATAGTGACATTATTTCAAACTTTAGTACGAAATCTATAGGCGAGCATGTTAATTATTTTTTAGAATTTAATAATAATTTCAAATATGAATTATTTTGATGATTTATATTAATATTTTATATCTTTGTTTAAAAAAAGCAAATTTTTATAGTATTTTGATCAGAATTCTATAGTATTTATTTATCAAGTTTCCTAATATACATAGTATAAAATATTTTATAGCAAAAGAGATTTGGGATATAATTAAAATCATTTAATTCCAATAAAATGAATTAAATAAAATGTAATACTGAAAAAAATGATATATGATTAAATTATTTTTTAAATTAGACTTTAGTTGGTAACCAGGCAAAGGTTTTAGAAGGCACTATCTATTACAATAATGGAATTGTACCAATAAATCGGGAAGGAACAGTGGTAATCGGTATGAATAGAACCGAAACAACCAATATTGTGACTAATATTACTTCTACTACCAATTCTACAATGACAAATACAATATCTAATTCTACCACAATTAGCACTAATACAATATCAAATGCTAATATTACGTTAAGTACTATAACCCCGAATAGAACAGGAAGTAGGGGACTAACTAATCAAAAGCAAAGAAGTAGTAGAGAACCAAAACATATTAGAACTAAGAAGAAGAAAACTAGAGTTCCTAAAAGCACGAATACCCATGGAACTATTAGAAAACATAAAACCAAGAAGTGGACAAAAATGTCTGAGCCTGGATTTACAAGAATCGCGAAAACTACTAAAACATATAAAAATACGAGAAAGCTAAGACCTACAAAACGGAAAACAACTAAACTAAGAACAACTAGAACACCAATATCTACTAGGACACCGAAAACAAATAAACCAAAAACTACAACTACTAAAACCCCCGTTATAACTAGAAAACCAAAAACAACCAGAGCGAAAACCACTAAACATAGAACGTCTTTAATTACTACCAAAACACATAAAACCCATAGATCAAAATCGTCTAAAGTTAGAAGTCCTAAAACTACTAGAACACCCGTTACAACTAGAAAACCAAAAACAACCAGAGCGAAAACCACTAAACATAGAAAATCTTTAATTACTACCAAAACACATAAAGCTACTAGATTAAAATCTACTAAAACTAGAAGTCCTAAAACTACTAGAACCGCTGAAACTACTAAAAAACCAAAGACCACAAGAGATAAAACCATTAAACATAGAACGTCTTTAATAACCACTAGAACAGATAAAACAATTAGACCAAAAACTACAAACACTAGAAGTCCTAAAACTACTAGAACCCTCGTTAAAACTAGAAAACCAAAAACCACAAGAGCGAAATCAACTAAACATAAGACATCTTTAATTACTAAAAAAACACATAAAACTAGTAGATCAAAATCTACTAAAAAAATAACTAAAAGTCATAAAACTACTAGAACTCCCGAAACAACAAGAAAACCAAAGACCACAAGAGCCAAAACCTCTAAACATAGAACGTCTTTAATTACTATTAGAACAGATAAAACTTTTAGATCAAAAACTAAAAAAACTAGAAGTCCTAAAACTACTATAACCCCTATTACAACTAGAAAACCAAAAACAAAAAAAACGAAAATAACTAAACCTAGAAAGTCTCTAAAAACTACCAGAACACATAAAACTATTATATCAAAAACTACAAAAATGAGAACTAGAAGTTCTAAAATTACTAGAACCCACGTTTCAACTAGAAAACCAAAAACAAACAAAGCGAAAACAACTAAACATAGAACGTCTATAATTATTACCAAAAAACATAAAAATACTAGATCAAAATCTACTAAAACTAGAAGTCCTAAAACTACTAGAACCGTCGAAACTACTAGAAAACCTAAAACAACCAGAGCGAAAACCACTAAACATAGAACTTTAATTACTACCAAAACATATAAAACCACTAGATCAAAATCTAGTAAAACAAGAAGTCCTAAAACTACTAGAACAGCCGAAACTACTAGAAAACAAAAAACCACCAAAGCAACTAAACCTGAAAACTACTAAAAAAAGAACTAAAAGTACTAAAACTACTAGAACACGGAAAACTACTAGAAGTCTAAAAACCACTAAAGCAAAAACCACTAAACCTAAAACGTTTTTAAGAACTACTCGAACACATAAAACCACTCAACCAAAAACTACTAAAAAAACAACTAGAAGACCAAAAACCACCAAAGCGAAAACCATTAAACCTATATCGTCTTCTAGAATTCCTAGAACACATAAAACAAGTAAACCGAAAACTACTAAAAAAAGAACTAAAAGTCCTAAAACTACTAAAATCCGGAAGACTACAAGAAGACAAAAAACCACTAGAGCAAAAATTACTAAACCTAGAACATCTTTAAGAACTATTCGAACACATAAAACCACTCAACCAAAAACTACTAAAAAAACAACTAGAAGACCAAAAACCACCAAAGCGAAAACCATTAAACCTATAACGTCTTCTAGAACTCCTAGAACACATAAAACAAGTAAACCGAAAACTACAAAAAAAAGAACTAGGAGACCAAAAACCACCAAAGCGAAAACGACTAAACCTATAACGTCTTCTAGAACTACTAGAACATATAAAACGACTAAACCGAAAACTACTAAAAAAAGAACTAAAAGTCCTAAAACTACTAGAACACGTAAAACTACTAGAAGACTAAAAACCACTAGAGCAAAAACCACTAAACGTAGAACGTCTTTAAGAACTACTCGTACACATAAAACCACTCAACCAAAAACTACTAAAAAAACAACTAGAAGATCAAAAACCACCAAAGCGAAAACCATTAAACCTATAACGTCTTCTAGAACTCCTAGAACACATAAAACAAGTAAACCGAAAACTACTAAAAAAAGAACTAAAAGTCCTAAAACTACTAGAACACGTAAAACTACTAGAGGACTAAAAATAACTAGAGCAAAAACCACAAAACGTAGAACGTCTTTAAGAACTACTCGAACACATAAAACCACACAACCAAAAACTACTAAAAAAACAACTAGAAGACCAAAAACCACCAAAGCGATAACCACTAAACCTAGAACTTCTTCCAGAACTACTAGAACACATAAAACAACTAAACCGAAAACTACTAAAAAAAGAACTAAAAGTCCTAAAACTACTAGAACACGTAAAACTACTAGAGGACTAAAAATAACTAGAGCAAAAACCACAAAACGTAGAACGTCTTTAAGAACTATTCGAACACATAAAACCACTCAACCAAAAACTACTAAAAAAACAACTAGAAGACCAAAAACCACCAAAGCGATAACTACTAAACCTAGAACCTCTTCCAGAATTACTAGAACACATAAAACAATTAAACCGAAAACTACTAGAAAAAGAACTAAAAGTCCTAAAACTACTAGAACACGGAAAACTACTAGAAGACTAAAAACCACTAGAGCAAAAACCACTAAACGTAGAACTTCTTTAAGAACAACTCGAACACATAAAACCACTCAACCAAAAACTACTAAAAAAATAACTAGAAGACCAAAAACCACCAAAGCGAAAACCACTAAACCAAGAACGTCTTCTACAACTACTAGAACATATAAAACGACTAAACCGAAAACGACTAAAAAAAGAACTAAAAGTCCTAAAACTACTAGAACACGTAAAACTACTAGAGGACTAAAAACCACTAGAGCAAAAACCACAAAACGTAGAACGTCTTTAAGAACTACTCGAACACATAAAACCACTCAACCAAAAACTACTAAAAAAACAACTAGAAGACCAAAAACCACCAAAGCGAAAACCACTAAACCAAGAACGTCTTCTAAAACTACTAGAACACATAAAACGACTAAACCGAAAACGACTAAAAAAAGAACTAAAAGTCCTAAAACTACTAGAACACGGAAAACTACTAGAAAAATAAAAACCACAAAACGTAGAACGTCTTTAAGAACTACTCGAACACATAAAACCACTCAACCAAAAACTAGTAAAAAAACAACTAAAAGAACAAAAACCAAAAAAGCAAAAACCACTAAACCTAGAACATCTTATAGAACTACTAGAACACATAAAACAACTAAACCGAAAACTACTAAAAAAAGAACTAAAAGCATTAAAACTACTAGAACACGGAAAACTACTAGAAGACTAAAAACCACTAGAGCAAAAACCACTAAACGTAGAACGTCTTTAAGAACTACTCGAACACATAAAACCACTCAACCAAAAACTACTAAAAAAAAAACTAGAAGACCAAAAACCACCAAAGCGAAAACCATTAAACCTATAACGTCTTCTAGAACTCCTAGAACACATAAAACAAGTAAACCGAAAACTACTAAAAAAAGAACTAAAAGTCCTAAAACTACTAGAACACGTAAAACTACTAGAGGACTAAAAATAACTAGAGCAAAAACCACAAAACGTATAACGTCTTTAAGAACTACTCGAACACATACAACCACTCAACCAAAAACTACTAAAAAAACAACTAGAAGACCAAAAACCACCAAAGCGAAAACCACTAAACCTAGAACGTCTTCTAAAACTACTAGAACACATAAAACAACTAAACCGAAAACGACTAAAAAAAGAACTAAAAGTCCTAAAACTACTAGAACACGGAAAACTACTAGAGGACTAAAAATAACTAGAGCAAAAACCACAAAACGTAGAACGTCTTTAAGAACTACTCGAACACATAAAACCACTCAACCAAAAACTACTAAAAAAACAACTAGAAGACCAAAAACCACCAAAGCGAAAACCACTAAACCAAGAACGTCTTCTAAAACTACTAGAACACATAAAACGACTAAACCGAAAACGACTAAAAAAAGAACTAAAAGTCCTAAAACTACTAGAACACGTAAAACTACTAGAAGACTAAAAACCACAAAACGTAGAACATCTTTAAGAACTACTCGAACACATAAAACCACTCAACCAAAAACTACTAAAAAAACAACTAGAAGACCAAAAACCACCAAAGCGAAAACCACTAAACCAAGAACGTCTTCTAAAACTACTAGAACACATAAAACGACTAAACCGAAAACGACTAAAAAAAGAACTAAAAGTCCTAAAACTACTAGAACACGGAAAACTACTAGAAGACTAAAAACCACAAAACGTAGAACATCTTTAAGAACTACTCGAACACATAAAACCACTCAACCAAAAACTACTAAAAAAACAACTAGAAGACCAAAAACCACCAAAGCGAAAACCACTAAACCTAGAACGTCTTCTAAAACTACTAGAACACATAAAACAACTAAACCGAAAACGACTAAAAAAGAACTAAAAGTCCTAAAACTACTAGAACACGGAAAACTACTAGAGGACTAAAAATAACTAGAGCAAAAACCACAAAACGTAGAACGTCTTTAAGAACTACTCGAACACATAAAACCACTCAACCAAAAACTACTAAAAAAACAACTAGAAGACCAAAAACCACCAAAGCGAAAACCAATAAACCAAGAACGTCTTCTAAAACTACTAGAACACATAAAACGACTAAACCGAAAACGACTAAAAAAAGAACTAAAAGTCCTAAAACTACTAGAACACGGAAAACTACTAGAAAAATAAAAACCACAAAACGTAGAACGTCTTTAAGAACTACTCGAACACATAAAACCACTCAACCAAAAACTAGTAAAAAAACAACTAAAAGAACAAAAACCAAAAAAGCAAAAACCACTAAACCTAGAACATCTTATAGAACTACTAGAACACATAAAACCACTAAACCGAAAACTACTAAAAAAAGAACTAAAAGCATTAAAACTACTAGAACACGGAAAACTACTAGAAGACTAAAAACCACTAGAGCAAAAACCACTAAACGTAGAACGTCTTTAAGAACTACTCGAACACATAAAACCACTCAACCAAAAACTACTAAAAAAAAAACTAGAAGACCAAAAACCACCAAAGCGAAAACCATTAAACCTATAACGTCTTCTAGAACTCCTAGAACACATAAAACAAGTAAACCGAAAACTACTAAAAAAAGAACTAAAAGTCCTAAAACTACTAGAACACGTAAAACTACTAGAGGACTAAAAATAACTAGAGCAAAAACCACAAAACGTAGAACGTCTTTAAGAACTACTCGAACACATACAACCACTCAACCAAAAACTACTAAAAAAACAACTAGAAGACCAAAAACCACCAAAGCGAAAACCACTAAACCAAGAACGTCTTCTAAAACTACTAGAACACATAAAACGACTAAACCGAAAACGACTAAAAAAAGAACTAAAAGTCCTAAAACTACTAGAACACGGAAAACTACTAGAAGACTAAAAACCACAAAACGTAGAACATCTTTAAGAACTACTCGAACACATAAAACCACTCAACACAAAAACTAGTAAAAAAACAACTAAAAGACCAAAAACCACTAAAGCGAAAACCACTAAACCTAGAACATCTTATAGAACTACTAGAACACATAAAACAACTAAACCGAAAACTACTAAAAAAAGAACTAAAAGTCCTAAAACTACTAGAACACGGAAAACTACTAGAAGACTAAAAACCACAAAACGTAGAACATCTTTAAGAACTACTCGAACACATAAAACCACTCAACCAAAAACTACTAAAAAAACAACTAGAAGACCAAAAACCACCAAAGCGAAAACCACTAAACCTAGAACGTCTTCTAAAACTACTAGAACACATAAAACAACTAAACCGAAAACGACTAAAAAAAGAACTAAAAGTCCTAAAACTACTAGAACACGGAAAACTACTAGAGGACTAAAAATAACTAGAGCAAAAACCACAAAACGTAGAACGTCTTTAAGAACTACTCGAACACATAAAACCACTCAACCAAAAACTACTAAAAAAACAACTAGAAGACCAAAAACCACCAAAGCGAAAACCACTAAACCAAGAACGTCTTCTAAAACTACTAGAACACATAAAACGACTAAACCGAAAACGACTAAAAAAAGAACTAAAAGTCCTAAAACTACTAGAACACGTAAAACTACTAGAAGACTAAAAACCACAAAACGTAGAACATCTTTAAGAACTACTCGAACACATAAAACCACTCAACCAAAAACTACTAAAAAAACAACTAGAAGACCAAAAACCACCAAAGCGAAAACCACTAAACCAAGAACGTCTTCTAAAACTACTAGAACACATAAAACGACTAAACCGAAAACGACTAAAAAAAGAACTAAAAGTCCTAAAACTACTAGAACACGGAAAACTACTAGAAGACTAAAAACCACAAAACGTAGAACATCTTTAAGAACTACTCGAACACATAAAACCACTCAACCAAAAACTACTAAAAAAACAACTAGAAGACCAAAAACCACCAAAGCGAAAACCACTAAACCTAGAACGTCTTCTAAAACTACTAGAATACATAAAACAACTAAACCGAAAACGACTAAAAAAAGAACTAAAAGTCCTAAAACTACTAGAACACGGAAAACTACTAGAGGACTAAAAATAACTAGAGCAAAAACCACAAAACGTAGAACGTCTTTAAGAACTACTCGAACACATAAAACCACTCAACCAAAAACTACTAAAAAAATAACTAGAAGACCAAAAACCACCAAAGCGAAAACCAATAAACCAAGAACGTCTTCTAAAACTACTAGAACACATAAAACGACTAAACCGAAAACGACTAAAAAAAGAACTAAAAGTCCTAAAACTACTAGAACACGGAAAACTACTAGAAGACTAAAAACCACTAGAGGAAAATACACTAAACGTAGAACGTCTTTAAGAACTACTCGAACACATAAAACCACTCAACCAAAAACTAGTAAAAAAACAACTAAAAGACCAAAAATCACCAAAGCGAAAACCACTAAACCTAGAACATCTTATAGAACTACTAGATCACATAAAACAACTAAACCGAAAACTACTAAAAAAAGAACTAAAAGTATTAAAACTACTAGGACACGGAAAACTACTAGAAGACTAAAAACAACTAGAGCAAAAACCACTAAACGTAGAACGTCTTTAAGAACTACTCGAACACATAAAACCACTCAACCAAAAACTACTAAAAAAAAAACTAGAAGACCAAAAACCACCAAAGCGAAAACCATTAAACCTATAACGTCTTCCAGAACTACTAGAACACATAAAACAACTAAACCGAAAACTACTAAAAAAAGAACTAAAAGTCCTAAAACTACTAGAACACGGAAAACAAGTAGAAGACTAAAAACCACTAGAGGAAAAACCACTAAACGTAGAACGTCTTTAAGAACTATTCAAACACATAAAACCACTCAACCAAAAACTACTAAAAAAACAACTAGAAGACCAAAAACCACCAAAGCGATAACCACTAAACCTAGAACTTCTTCCAGAACTACTAGAACACATAAAACGACTAAACCGAAAACTACTAAAAAAAGAACTAAAAGTCCTAAAACTACTAGAACACGGAAAACTACTAGAACACGGAAAACTACTAGAAGACTAAAAACCACTAAATCAAAAACCACTAAACGTAGAACGTCTTTAAGAACAACTCGAACACATAAAACCACTCAACCAAAAACTACTAAAAAAACAACTAGAAGACCAAAAACCACCAAAGCAAAAACCATTAAACCTATAACGTCTTTTAGTACTCATAGAACACATATAACAAGTAAACCGAAAACTACTAAAAAAAGAACTAAAAGTCCTAAAACTACTAGAACACGTAAAACTACTAGAAGACTAAAAACCACAAGAGCAAAAACCACTAAACGTAGAACGTCTTTAAGAACTACTCGAACACATAAAACCACTCACCCAAAAACTACTAAAAAAACAACTAGAAGACCAAAAACCACCAAAGCGATAACCACTAAACCTAGAACTTCTTCCAGAACTACTAGAACACATAAAACAACTAAACCGAAAACTACTAAAAATAGAACTAAAAGTCCTAAAACTACTAGAACACGGAAAACTACTAGAACACGGAAAACTACTAAAAGACTAAAAACCACTAGAGCAAAAACCACTAAACGTCGAACGTCTTTCAGATCAACTCGAACACATAAAACCACTCAACCAAAAACTACTAAAAAAACAACTAGAAGACCAAAAACCACCATAGCGAAAACCACTAAATCTAGAACGTCTTCTAAAACTACTAGAACACATAAAACGACTAAACCGAAAACTACTAAAAAAAGAACTAAAAGTCCTAAAACTACTAGAACACGGAAAACTACTAGAAGACTAAAAACCACTAGAGCAAAAACCACTAAACGTAGAACGTCTTTAAGAACTACTAGAACACATAAAACCACTCAACCAAAAACTACTAAAAAAACAACTAGAAGACCAAAAACCACCAAAGCGAAAACCACTAAACCAAGAACGTCTTCTAAAACTACTAGAACACATAAAACGACTAAACCGAAAACGACTAAAAAAAGAACTAAAAGTCCTAAAACTACTAGAACACGAAAAACTACTAGAAGACTAAAAACCACAAAACGTAGAACGTCTTTAAGAACTACTCGAACACATAAAACCACTCAACCAAAAACAACTAAAAGACCAAAAACCACCAAAGCGAAAACCACTAAACCTAGAACGTCTTCTAGAACTACTAGAACACATAAAACAACTAAACCGAAAACTACTAAAAAAAGAACTAAAAGTCCTAAAACTACTAGAACACGGAAAACTACTAGAACACGGAAAACTACTAGAAGACTAAAAACCACTAAACGTAGAACGTCTTTAAGAACAATTCGAACACATAAAACCACTCAACCAAAAACTACTAAAAAAACAACTAGAAGACCAAAAACCACCAAAGCGAAAACAATTAAACCTATAACGTCTTTTAGAACTCCTAGAACACATATAACAAGTAAACCGAAAACTACTAAAAAGAGAACTAAAAGTCCTAAAACTACTAGAACACGTAAAACTACTAGAAGACTAAAAACCACTAGAGCAAAAACCACTAAACGTAGAACGTCTTTAAGAACAACTCGAACACATAAAACCACTCACCCAAAAACTACTAAAAAAACAACTAGAAGACCAAAAACCACCAAAGCGATAACTACTAAACCTAGAACCTCTTCCAGAATTACTAGAACACATAAAACAATTAAACCGAAAACTACTAAAAAAAGAACTAAAAGTCCTAAAACTACAAGAACACGGAAAACTACTAGAAGACTAAAAACCACTAGAGCAAAAACCACTAAACATAGAACTTCTTTAAGAACAACTCGAACACATAAAACCACTCAACCAAAAACTACTAAAAAAATAACTAGAAGACCAAAAACCACCAAAGCGAAAATTACTAAACCAAGAACGTCTTCTACAACAACTAGAACACATAAAACGACTAAACCGAAAACGACTAAAAAAAGAACTAAAAGTCCTATAACTACTAGAACACGTAAAACTACTAGAGGACTAAAAACCACTAGAGCAAAAACCACAAAACGTAGAACGTCTTTAAGAACTACTCGAACACATAAAACCACTCAACCTAAAACTACTAAAAAAACAACTAGAAGACCAAAAACCACCAAAGCGAAAACCACTAAACCAAGAACGTATTCTAAAACTACTAGAACACATAAAACGACTAAACCGAAAACGACTAAAAAAAGAACTAAAAGTCCTAAAACTACTAGAACACGGAAAACTACTAGAAGACTAAAAACCACAAAACGTAGAACGTCTTTAAGAACTACTCGAACACATAAAACCACTCAACCAAAAACTACTAAAAAAACAACTAGAAGACTAAAAACCACCAAAGCGATAACCACTAAACCTAGAACGTCTTCTAGAACTACTAGAACACATAAAACAACTAAACCGAAAACTACTAAAAAAAGAACTAAAAGTCCTAAAACTACTAGAACACGTAAAACTACTAGAAGACTAAAAACCACTAGAGCAATAACCACTAAACGTAGAACGTCTTTAAGAACTACTCGAACACATAAAACCACTCACCCAAAAACTACTAAAAAAACAACTAGAAGACCAAAAACCACCAAAGCGATAACCACTAAACCTAGAACGTCTTCTAGAACTACTAGAACACATAAAACAACTAAACCGAAAACTACTAAAAAAAGAACTAAAAGTCCTAAAACTACTAGAACACGTAAAACTACTAGAAGACTAAAAACCACTAGAGCAATAACCACTAAACGTAGAACGTCTTTAAGAACTACTCGAACACATAAAACCACTCACCCAAAAACTACTAAAAAAACAACTAGAAGACCAAAAACCACCAAAGCGATAACTACTAAACCTAGAACCTCTTCCAGAATTACTAGAACACATAAAACGACTAAACCGAAAACTACTAATAAAAGAACTAAAAGTCCTAAAACTACTAGAACACGGAAAACTACTAGAAAACTAAAAACCACTAGAGCAAAAACCACAAAACGTAGAACGTCTTTAAGAACTACTCGAACACATAAAACCACTCAACCTAAAACTACTAAAAAAACAACTAGAAGACCAAAAACCACCAAAGCGAAAACCACTAAACCAAGAACGTCTTCTAAAACTACTAGAACACATAAAACGACTAAACCGAAAACGACTAAAAAAAGAACTAAAAGTCCTAAAACTACTAGAACACGAAAACTACTAGAAGACTAAAAACCACAAAACGTAGAACGTCTTTAAGAACTACTCGAACACATAAAACCACTCAACCAAAAACTACTAAAAAAACAACTAGAAGACCAAAAACCACCAAAGCGATAACCACTAAACCTAGAACGTCTTCTAGAACTACTAGAACACATAAAACAACTAAACCGAAAACTACTAAAAAAAGAACTAAAAGTCCTAAAACTACTAGAACACGGAAAACTACTAGAAGACTAAAAACCACTAGAGCAAAAACCACTAAACGTAGAACGTCTTTAAGAACTACTCGAACACATAAAACCACTCACCCAAAAACTACTAAAAAAACAACTAGAAGACCAAAAACCACCAAAGCGATAACTACTAAACCTAGAACCTCTTCCAGAATTACTAGAACACATAAAACAATTAAACCGAAAACTACTAAAAAAAGAACTAAAAGTCCTAAAACTACAAGAACACGGAAAACTACTAGAAGACTAAAAACCACTAGAGCAAAAACCACTAAACATAGAACTTCTTTAAGAACAACTCGAACACATAAAACCACTCACCCAAAAACTACTAAAAAAACAACTAGAAGACCAAAAACCACCAAAGCGATAACTACTAAACCTAGAACCTCTTCCAGAATTACTAGAACACATAAAACAATTAAACCGAAAACTACTAAAAAAAGAACTAAAAGTCCTAAAACTACAAGAACACGGAAAACTACTAGAAGACTAAAAACCACTAGAGCAAAAACCACTAAACATAGAACTTCTTTAAGAACAACTCGAACACATAAAACCACTCAACCAAAAACTACTAAAAAAATAACTAGAAGACCAAAAACCACCAAAGCGAAAACCACTAAACCAAGAACGTCTTCTACAACTACTAGAACACATAAAACGACTAAACCGAAAACGACTAAAAAAAGAACTAAAAGTCCTAAAACTACTAGAACACGGAAAACTACTAGAAGACTAAAAACCACTAGAGCAAAAACCACTAAACGTAGAACGTCTTTAAGAACTACTCGAACACATAAAACCACTCACCCAAAAACTACTAAAAAAACAACTAGAAGACCAAAAACCACCAAAGCGATAACTACTAAACCTAGAACCTCTTCCAGAATTACTAGAACACATAAAACAATTAAACCGAAAACTACTAAAAAAAGAACTAAAAGTCCTAAAACTACAAGAACACGGAAAACTACTAGAAGACTAAAAACCACTAGAGCAAAAACCACTAAACATAGAACTTCTTTAAGAACAACTCGAACACATAAAACCACTCAACCAAAAACTACTAAAAAAATAACTAGAAGACCAAAAACCACCAAAGCGAAAACCACTAAACCAAGAACGTCTTCTACAACTACTAGAACACATAAAACGACTAAACCGAAAACGACTAAAAAAAGAACTAAAAGTCCTAAAACTACTAGAACACGTAAAACTACTAGAGGACTAAAAACCACTAGAGCAAAAACCACAAAACGTAGAACGTCTTTAAGAACTACTCGAACACATAAAACCACTCAACCAAAAACTACTAAAAAAACAACTATAAGACCAAAAACCACCAAAGCGAAAACCACTAAACCAAGAACGTCTTCTAAAACTACTAGAACACATAAAACGACTAAACCGAAAACGACTAAAAAAAGAACTAAAAGTCCTAAAACTACTAGAACACGGAAAACTACTAGAAGACTAAAAACCACAAAACGTAGAACGTCTTTAAGAACTACTCGAACACATAAAACCACTCAACCAAAAACTACTAAAAAAACAACTAGAAGACCAAAAACCACCAAAGCGATAACCACTAAACCTAGAACGTCTTCTAGAACTACTAGAACACATAAAACGACTAAACCGAAAACTACTAAAAAAAGAACTAAAAGTCCTAAAACTACTAGAACACGTAAAACTACTAGAAGACTAAAAACCACTAGAGCAATAACCAATAAACGTAGAACGTCTTTAAGAACTACTAGAACACATAAAACCACTCAACCAAAAACAACTAAAAAAACAACTAGAAGACCAAAAACCACCAAAGCGAAAACCACTAAACCTAGAACTTCTTCTAGAACTACTAGAACACATAAAACGACTAAACCGAAAACTACTAATAAAAGAACTAAAAGTCCTAAAACTACTAGAACACGGAAAACTACTAGAAAACTAAAAACCACTAGAGCAAAAACCACTAAACGTAGAAAGTCTTTAAGAACTACTCGAACACATAAAACCACTCAACCAATAACTACTAAAAAAACAACTATAAGGCCAAAAACCACCAAAGCGAAAACCACTAAACCTAGAACGTCTTCTAGAACTACTAGAAAATTTAAAACAACTAAATCGAAAACGATTAAAAAAAGAACTAAAAGTCCTAAAACTACTAGAACACATAAAACAATTAAACCGAAAACTATTAGAAAAAGAACTAAAAGTCCTAAAACTACTAAAATACGGAAAACTACTAGAAGACGAAAAACCAGTAGAGCGAAAATTACTAAACCTAGAACATCTTTAAGAACTACTAGAACACATAAAATCAGTCAACCAAAAACTACTAAAAAAACAACTAGAAGACCAAAAACCTCCAAAGCGATATCCATTAAACCTATAACGTTTTCTAGAACTCCTAGAACACATAAAATAACAAAACCGAAAACTACTAAAAAAAGAACTAAAAGTCCTAAAACTACTAGAACACGGAATACTACTAGAAGACTAAAAACCACTAGAGCAAAAATCACTAAACGTAGAACGTCTTTAAGAACTACTAGAACACATAAAACCACTCAACCAAAAACTACTAAGAAAACAACTAGAAGACCAAAAACCACCAAAGCGATAACCACTAAACCCATAACGTCCTCTAGAACTACTAGAACACATAAAACAACTAAACCGAAAACTACTAAAAAAAGAACTAAAAGTCCTAAAACTACTACAACACGGAAAACTACTAGAAAACCAAAAACCACTAGAGCAAAAACGACTAAACCTAGAACGTCTTTAAGAATTACTCGAACACATAAAACCACTCAACCAAAAACTACTAAAAAAACAACTAGAAGACCAAAAACCACCAAAGCGAAAACCACTAAACCTAGAACGTCTTCTAGAACTACTAGAACACATCAAACAACTAAACCGAAAATTACTAAGAAAAGAACTAAAAGTCCTAAAACTACTAGAACACATAAAACAATTAAACCGAAAACTATTAGAAAAAGAACTAAAAGTCCTAAAACTACTAAAATACGGAAAACTACTAGAAGACTAAAAACCACTAGAGCAAAAACCACTAAACGTAGAACGTCTTTAAGAACTACTCAAACACATAAAACCCCTCAACCAAAAACTACTAAAAAAACAACTAGAAGACCAAAAATCACCAAAGCGATAACCACTAAACCTAGAATTACTTCCAGAACTACTAGAACACATAAAACAACTAAACCGAAAACTACTAAAAAAAGAACTAAAAGTCCTAAAACTACTAGAACACGGAAAACTACTAGAAGACTAAAAACCACTAGAGCAAAAACCACTAAACGTAGAACGTCTTTAAGAACTACTCGAACACATAAAACGACTCAAACAAAAACTACTAAAAATAGAACTAGAAGACCAAAAACCACCAAAGCGAAAACCACTAAACCTAGAACTACTAGAACATATAAAACGATTAAACCGAAAACTACTAAAAAAAGAACTAAAAGTCCTAAAACTACTAGAACACGGAAAACTACTAGAAAACTAAAAACCACTAGAGCAAAAACCACTAAACGTAGAACTTCTGTAAGAACTACTCGAACACATAAAATCAATCAACCAAAAACTTACAAAAAAAAAACTAGAAGACCAAAAACCACCAAAGCGAAAACCACTAAACCTAGAACGTCTTCTAGAACTACTAGAACACATAAAACGACTCAACCAAAAACTACTAAAAATAGAACTAAAAGTCCTAAAACTACTAGAACACGTAAAACTAGTAGAAGACTAAAAACCACTAGAGAAAAAACCACTAAACCTAGAACTTCTTCTAGAACTACTAGAACACATAAAACGACTAAACCGAATACTAAAAAAAGAACTAAAAGTCCTAAAACTACTAGAACACGGAATACTACTAGAAGACTAAAAACCACTAGAGCAAAAACCACTAAACATAGAACTTCTTTAAGAACAACTCGAACACATAAAACCACTCAACCAAAAACTACTAAAAAAACAACTAGAAGACCAAAAACCAGCAAAGCGAAAACTACTAAACCTAGAACGTCTTCTAGAACTACTATAACACATAAAACAACTAAACCGAAAAGTACTAAAAAAAGAACTAAAAGTCCTAAAACTACTAGAACACATAAAATTACTAGAAGACTAAAAACCACTAGAGAAAAAACCACTAAACGTAGAACGTCTTTAAGAACTACTAGAACACATAAAACCACTCAACCAAAAACTACTAAAAAAACAACTAGACGACCAAAAACCACCAAAGCGAAAACTACTAAACCTAGAACGTCTTCTAGAACTACTAGAAAACTTAAAACAACTAAATCGAAAACGATTAAAAAAAGAACTAAAAGTCCTAAAACTACTAGAACACATAAAACAATTAAACCGAAAACTACTAGAAAAAGAACTAAAAGTCCTAAAACTAATAAAATACTAAAAACTACTAGAAGACCAAAAACCACTAGAGCGAAAATTACTAAACCTAGAACATTTTTAAGAAATACTAGAACACATAAAATCACTCAACCAAAAACTACTAAAAAAACAACTAGAAGACCAAAAACCACCAAAGCGATATCCATTAAACCTCTAACGTCTTCTAGAACTCCTAGAACACATAAAATAACAAAACCGAAAAACTACTAAAAAAAGAACTAAAAGTCCTAAAACTACCAGAACACGTAATACTACTAGAAGACTAAAAACCACTAGAGCAAAAATCACTAAACGTAGAACGTCTTTAAGAACTACTAGAACACATAAAACCACTCAACCAAAAACTACTAAAAAAACAACTAGAAGACCAAAAACCAGCAAAGCGAAAACCACTAAACCTAGAACGTCTTCTAAAACTACTAGAAGACTAAAAACCACTAGAGCAAAAACCACTAAACGTAGAACGTCTTTAAGAACTACTCGAACACATAAAACCACTCAACCAAAAACTACTAAGAAAACAACTAGAAGACCAAAAACCACCAAAGCGATAACCACTAAACCCATAACGTCCTCTAGAACTACTAGAACACATAAAACAACTAAACCGAAAACTACTAAAAAAAGAACTAAAAGTCCTAAAACTACTACAACACGGAAAACTACTAGAAAATCAAAAACCACTAGAGCAAAAACGACTAAACCTAGAACGTCTTTAAGAATTACTCGAACACATAAAACCACTCAAACAAAAACTACTAAAAAAACAACAAGAAGACCAAAAACCACCAAAATGAAAACCACTAAACCTAGAACTTCTTCCAGAACTACTAGACCACATAAAACAACTAAATCGAAAACGACTAAAAAAAGAACTAAAAGTCCTAAAACTACTAGAACACGGAAAACTACTAGAAAACTAAAAACCACTAGAGGAAAAATTACTAAACCTAGAACGTCTTTAAGAACTACTCGAACACATAAAACCACTCAACTAAAAATTACTAAAAATACAAGTAGAACAAAAACAATTAAAGCGAAATCCATTAAACCTATTACGTCTTCTAGAACTCCTAGAACACATAGAATAACAAAACCGAAAACTACTAAAAAACGAACTAATAGTCCTAAAACTACTAGAACACGGAAAACTACTAGAAAACCAAAAACCACTAAACCTAGAACGACTTTAAGAATTACTCGAACACATAAAACCGTTCAACCAAAAACTACTAAAAAAACAACTAGAAGACCAAAAACCACCAAAGCGAAAACCACTAAACCTAGAACGTCTTCTAGAACTACTAGAACACAGAAAACAACTAAACCGAAAACTACTAAAAAAAGAACTAAAAGTCCTAAAACTACTAGAACCCGGAAAACTACTAGAAAACTAAAAACCACTAGAGCAAAAATCACTAAACCTAGAACATCTTTAAAAACTACTCGAACACATAAAACAACTCAACCAAAAACTACTAAAAAAACAACTAGAAGACCAAAATCCACCAAAGTGAAAACAATTAAACCTAGAACGTCTTCTAAAAATACTAGAACCAGGAAAACTACTAGAAAACTAAAAACCACTAGCGCAAAAATTACTAAACCTAGAACATCTTTAAGAACTACTAGAACACATAAAATCAGTCAACCAAAAACTACTAAAAAAACAACTAGAAGACCAAAAACCACCAAAGCGATATCCATTAAACCTATAACGTTTTCTAGAATTCCTAGAACACATAAAATAACAAAACCGAAAAAAAGAACTAAAAGTCCTAAAACTACTAGAACACGGAATACTACTAGAAGACTAAAAACCACTAGAGCAAAAATCACTAAACGTAGAACGTCTTTAAGAACTACTAGAACACATAAAACCACTCAATCAAAAACAACTAAAAAAACAACTAGAAGACCAAAAACCACCAAAGCGAAAACCACTAAACTTAGAACTTCTTCTAGAACTACTAGAACACATAAAACCACTCAACCAAAAACTACTAAAAAAACAACTAGAAGACCAAAAACCACCAAAGTGATAACCACGAAACCTAGAACTTCTTCCAGAACTACTAGAACACATAAAACGACTAAACCGAATACTACTAAAAAAACTAAAAGTATTAAAACTACTAGAACACGGAAAACTACTAGAAGACTAAAAACCACTAAATCAAAAACCACTAAACGTAGAACGTCTTTAAGAACAACTCGAACACATAAAACCACTCAACCAAAAACTACTAAAAAAACAACTAGAAGACCAAAAACCACCAAAGCGAAAACCACAAAACCTAAAACGTTTTCTAGAAATACTAGAACACATAAAACAACTAAACCGAAAATTACTAAGAAAAGAACTAAAAGTCCTAAAACTACTAGAACACGGAAAACTACTAGAAGACTAAAAACCACTAGAGCAAAAACCACTAAACGTAGAACGTCTTTAAGAACTACTCGAACACATAAAACCACTCAACCAAAAACTACTAAAAAAACAACAAGAAGACCAAAAACCACCAAAGCGAAAACCACTAAACCTAGAACGTCCTCTAGAACTACTAGAACACAGAAAACAACTAAACCGAAAACTACTAAAAAAAGAACTAAAAGTCCTAAAACTACTAGAACCCGGAAAACTACTAGAAAACTAAAAACCACTAGAGCAAAAATCACTAAACCTAGAACATCTTTAAGAACTACTCGAACACATAAAACTACTCAACCAAAAACCTCTAAGAAAACAACAAGAAGTACAAAAACCACCAAAGCAAAAACTACTAAACCTAGAACATCTTCTAGAACTAACAGAACTACTAGAATCCCTATAAAATCCAAGATATTAACTAGTAGAAAGACAACAACAATTACAACTAAATCAACAAGACCACAAACCACTAGGGTTATATCAAGTACTAAAAGACATAAATTGTCTATCCCTAAAACTACCCGAAAAACTAGTATAACATCCAAAGCCACTAAAAAATTACCAAGAGCAACTAGAATCGCCAAAACTATCAGAAAAATTAAAACGACTAGAGCAAAAACAACTAAAGCTAGAACGTCTAGGAAAACTACTAAGTCACATGAAACCACTAGACAAAAAACTAAAACATCAATTAGAAGACATAAAAAATCGAGAAAACATAAAACCACTAGATCAAAAACGACTAAACCAAAAACGTCTAGAAAAATTACTAGGAGCAAAATTACTGTACGAAAAATTACAAGAGGGCACAAAACTACTAGACTTACTAAACCCACTACATCTACTAAGCCTACGACTAGTAATATTAAAATTACCACCTAAACTATTCAATTTACAACGCAGACCACCAAAATTACATCTATTTTATAACTCTTATAACAATAAAATACTATATCATTTTGAATTTTATTAAATGATATACAATAATCTTTAAGTTTATAAAAAAAAAATTTTTTTTTGATATATTACATAATATTGTATTATCATTATCCAAATTATTCAAATATATTTATTATAGTAATTTGCATTTTTAACTGCTTATTTATTTATTTTAATAGTTGTACAACTTCTTTATTTCATTGATATCGGTAAATTTAAATTCTTTGACAAAATTAATATTTATACATTTATTATATAAATTCCAATGCATAATTAACTAGAGCTTTTAATAAAAATTATGTATAATTATTAAGACAAATAAAATTTTATTGTGGTCTTATTATTTATAAAACTTAAAATATCTCATTATTTCCAACATTTGGTATATCGATATTAAAGTTATATTTTCTTGCCAAATAGTTGTTAAAAGATATTTTTAAACGGATCTATAAACAATATGGCATCGTCTAAAATGGATATAGATAAAGATATATCGTCTAGTATTCAGATAAAGATACAATATTATACTTTTGTAAATTGGGCTAATGCTTAATTTAGAATTCTACTGTTTAAATTTTAATTTCAAAGAGAGCTAAAAAATTTATTGAATTGATATCACATCAATGTACAAATGATTGTTAGATTCTAATATAATTCATATATATAATATAAAATTAAGTGACTATGTATAATAATTGATATAATTTGATAATAAAACATTCTCAAAATTTTTATCTTTAAAGCAAAAAAATAAGAAATAAAATTATATAAAAATATATCAAAAAAGTATCTAAACAAGATATCTCTAAAATAGTATTTGAATACAGGTACAACATTTTTGTACATAGCTACTACTTCAACAACTCTGATAAATGCTATGTATCAATATGATTATCAATGAGAATCAATCATTAAAGAGTTTATTCAAATCTAAAATTTGTTCAATATATTAAAAATTTGAACAAACAAGACAATTTTCTATCTAGTGTTCTTATGCTAAATAAAAATGAATCAAATAAATGATAAAGTTCAATCTAGTAGGAATCGATGAAAATAAATGTTTGTAGACACTTTACACTTTATCAAGCGACACTTTGAACACGCTATACTTAATCATGCGACATATTATTATAATATAAAACTTAATTTAATATATTTGAAAAGTTATATTTAAATGATAAATTTATTGACTTTCCCGTATTATTTTTAAAAAAAACTAATATTTTAATTTTTATAAGTTTCATCTCTAGCGTTTAAGAGTAGTAGATAGAAGCTTTTGTATTGTATAGGAGCATATATTGCTAGATGGCGATATGATCTGCCTTTTGAGTATCTGCAATATAATAAATGGTGTCCTTAACTATCGACCTGGATCTCGCGTAAAGACATGTGGGGTGACTAGCTCTGAGATGGAGGCCAATTGACCCTTTCTTCTGGAGATAAACAAGGGTCCTTACTTAATTATCATTTTATCTTATAACATAAGCAATAAGACAATTTAATTTATACTCTTTATTAGTAAGTAATCATAAATCAATATATCATAAATATAAAATATAAGTTATAAATAAAAAAAATTTAATTGCAAAAAATATGGGCAACCGCTTTTAAAAATGTGAAAAAATCTTGAATTCCATAATTCAAAACACATCAATGAACTCATTCTTTTAATATCTTCTTATTTCTCTGAGAGATCCGGTGTTTTCCCAATTATGACTTGGGGATATAGGGTCTTATGTTTGCGCATTCTTTATGACCCGTTCAAAAATTACATAAACGTCAGGTGAGAGCCAATATCTTAGGCCTATGATATACCATAATGCCAGCCTTAAACACGTGTTCGGGAGACACCATTTAACATATAATGTGTTTGTTCTACAATTTTATATCTTAGAGAGTAGCTGCAAAATTATTTAATTTTACCCTATAATTTTATAACAAAAAATATAATATTTACTATTATTTCTTGTCTTCGGATAAAGGTCTTCATTAATTTTTACAAATATTTCTGCCAATATTTCAAATGCATTTCCAAATCACTTAGGTAAGGTCCGATTAACACCCGTTATGCAATCGGAAATTATCATTTACTCATAGACTTCTTTTTAGTCTCAAATCATTTATTTTTTATATTCATGCTCCATTTATCGGTGCCTATTCAAAATCCATCAATATCTTTCTCGGATATGCGGCTGGTTATAATTGTTTTAGCCCTTACTGTTTTTCTTGATCATCCTTGCATAGACTCATACGCTTACAAATCTGTTCAATCATGTCCGCCGAAACGTCGAATTTCACATTTAATCACTTACACTCTTGGTAGCTCTAGCAATTGAAGCATCGCGTTTCTTAAAAACATTAAGGGAAATATCTAATTGCATATCCAACAGATTTATGTCTATATAATATTTTTAATTTTTTGTATTTTTTTTAAAATCATATTTTCCTTAATTTTTCAAATTTTTTTTAATTTTTATCATATAGTTTTTTTAATATATATTTCTATTTATAATTTTACTTTATATATATTTTTTTTAATTTTAAAAAAAAATTTCGGGGAAAAATTTAGAAAAAAAAATGAAATTGTTTTTGAGAAAGATAAATAAGTCAATAAATTAGCATGATATATCACGTGATAAAGTGTCGGACGATAAAAAAGTGTCAAGTTATCAGATGAATGAGTGATGTGTCGTTCAGAGTTGTTAAAAGCTACTTTTAAAAGTAACGCGCTATCGCTATTTGTCAAAAAAACTAGAGCGCAATTAGCTACTATTTTTTAAAAATAGCTTTAGCTACTTTTTATATTGTTTTATTTTTTGCTTATAATGTTATTGTAAGTAAATATATAAAAATCTACATTTATAAATATTTAAATATAGTTAGTTTTGATTAATAATAAATATTTATGGTATTGTTGTATTTTTTAAGTTTTACCTTCTGTTATGTGTCCAACTATCTGCCGTGGTACATATATATGATATCTCTGATAACTCTACTATTAGAGCATCTTACATCACTTTAAAGTTATCTGCTATTTTATTGATTAGTGCTGGCGAAATAAAATTGTTATACCTGGGGATAGAGTTTTAATCATCATGGTAAATGATGGATTATCAACAAGGACATTGGCTGAACTGTATCGATTATAAAATCAACAATAACTTTATCAGCCAATTTCTGAGAAATATTGGCATTTGCATTATTAATTAAATTAGTCTTTTTGAATGTAGAGTCGCCTATACCAAAATTATTTAGATGTTTCTCCATTTCCTTAAAACTATTGGAATGAAAAGTCTTATAAAATAAATACTATTAGAATGTAAAAATGACAATTTACCTTTAGGTGTTTCTTGAGGTTATAGCTACTAGATTAATTTGATGAATTATTTTTTTTACATTTTAAACAAATAAATTTGAAACCAGTTTTGGTTTTTATATATATTTTAATCAAATCGAGGGAATGGGAAATTTGTATTATAGCTATTAAGAACTTTTTCTTCCCTAGTATCTTCTTCTTTAATATCATTGTCTGAATCACTTTCAACGGGATATCCATATGGCAAATTATTAGCACGTGATTTAGGTTTATAATACAAATGAAAATATAAATTACAAATTGAAAATTTATTTCAATTTCAAAATTAAATAATATAAAAATTATAATTAATTATGATATTATATCTATATTTTCATGTTTAAACTTACCTTCATTATAATTTTTAAAAGTAGCTAAAAAAAAGTAGAGTGTTAAAAAATTAAATAATAACGAGAAAAGAAGCCGCTATTAGCTATAGCTACCAAAAAAGATAGCTCGCTACTCTGGTGTCGTTGGGATAAAGGGTCGCCTCGTGATAAAGTGTCACTTGATATGATATCGCAAGATGAAAAATAAAGCGTTCAGCTCTAACCCTAAATAGCTAATTTAACAATTTGAGAAAATAAATTTATCACCGTTTTTAATATCTCCATTTTACATCCATCACTAATTTCTCTTTTTAATGAACCTTTCCAATATATTATCATGAATATTTGCTAAACACGAAACAAGCCTAAGAGGGGCTTTATAAATTTGATTTTTATTATCTGAAAGTTAAATAAATAATTTTAATTTATATCATAAAAATACCCTTTTCAATTTGACTATGTATATTGCCAATTTCCTGCATATTTAAATGTCTTATCCCATTTTAAGAAAATTTTTGCGTAATGCTCTTTCTAAATTGAAGATGATTCATCAGAAAATTTTTTTAGGTGTCACAATTGAGAGCTTTTGTCATTGGAACTTAAGAACCTAAATATAAAAAGAAATATATACTAAAATTATAGTTGAATCCTTTATTAAATAATAATAAATATAATTAAATGCAAAGTGAAAAACATAATCAAAATAAAAGAAAAATAAACTAATATAAGAAAAGAAAAAGTAAATTTTAGTTAAAAAAATATAATCCTTTTTCGCATCATAATTTCTCCATTATATATTATTTTTCTTTAATCCACACATAGTCTCCCTAGCGAAGAATAAAATGTTTTACATCCCACTTGTTAAAACTGTTAAAGTATGAAAAAATCTACAAATATCACGCGTTTTTTTCTCATTTACATAGACGGGGATATTTTAATAAAACATTATTTTTGTTAACGATTTGCATAATTCATTTTTTTTGTAAAGCAAAACTGCAACACCCTTCCACTTAAGTTAGACCCACCAATCAGTGAATGACCAACTTCTTTCGATTTCGACTTTACAGATCTTGTATCTCCACCAAATCTATTCGTCTTAATCTTTAATGTCTTCTCGTTTCTCACGACGGCGGTCTATTGTTTAATATTCTTCACTTCTAAGGACTGTTTGTATCCGATTACATTCTGAAATTCTTGAATCCTTCTGTTTCTTGTCAACCCCTTGTAAACGATTATCTCTTGATCTCTATAACCAATTG